CTTCTCCCTGTTGCTACACAGGAAAGGAATTCTAGGAATTATACCCTTAGCATAGCTAACTTGTACTACAAACCTGTCACATTTCACCCCTCATCAACCTGACTTCCAGACTCACCTCTTTAATCACACCTCACCTCCAAATAAAAACGATAGTAAAGTGATGCTTCCACCCAGCGGTGCAGATAGCCATTCTATAACCAAAAACATGTTAGCCCTCTCCCCCAAATACGATACGAAGTTCCTTTATCCATCTTTGGATCGTGTTCATTCCTCTTCTAGCTGAGTCATACTCCCGCTTTAATATCATCTAACTTAAACTATAAGATGTCAAGTTAAGTACCATCAACACATGTTCCATTAGTGCCACCAACACATTCCTCTGTGTTACAAAGCAGAGTGGAAAGAAAACATTGATTAATATATAGATAACTACAGTCATACCAAAATAAGGAAGAAACACCAATAGCTATTAGTTTTCATTTCCAAAATTGTTCACATAGTCATAGGTGGTATTTTTAACTTCCTTTTTCCACCATCTACCCCCACCTTATTGGCCTCTCTGCCAGCATTGCACAGAGGTGGTTTCTTCCAATTTTCAGATTTTGACTTACATGTCATCTCCCCAAAGAGGCCTTGCTTCATCTCAATTTCAAGTGAACCACCTTATTATTTTTTTCATAGCATTCTGATTTTTTTCTTTCAAATTATATATTTGTGTGTTTCTTCTTTGTTTAGGAATGAGAATTGTTATTACTCATCTAAGAGAAGTGTGTTTGCATCAGTGTTTGAGAGTTTAAAAGAGTATGAACATGATTAAGGGGGCAGAAATAGTATTAATGAAAAGTATAAAAATAATTTGGCACTTTTTATCGATGCTACTTACTGATGGGATAGTATTTTGAAGTGCATCTGGGTAATGCATGTCTATCAGGGATAGGATGGGCAATAGACGTCACAGCAGCAAGTGTTCAGGGGCTGGAGAGTAAAAGGAGATTGAGAACAACAGCCAATTTTCATTTCCCTCAAGGAAATAAAGTGATGCTGCATGCCTAGCACAACGCTGGGCATCTAAAAGGAGTAGAACAAATTTATGTTGACTATCTGACTATTGATTATTAGTAAAAGTAAATGAGATTTTCATAAATTGAAAAATTCAAGTTGCCTTAAGTAAAGGTCATAGGATTATGGAATGTTACATCTTAAAACTGATCATAACAGGAAGATACAGATTGTCATAATCTAAAAATTCCTAAAATGGTATATGTCCTTGTCAATAAACAGGACATATATTTTATTTTTTATCCTAAATAAAAGTAAAGTGCTAGACTGAAATGACCTTTAGAGATTACTTCCTGCTAATAGTTCTATTAATTTTCCCATTGATTACTTTCGTATTTTGTTGTTATTGTTCTTCTTTTAACCTCAAGCCTCAAAACCAAAAAGGTCAAGACCACGTAAGTCAGGAGAAAAATGAAAGGTCTTTTATATCCATCAGCAACACAGTGAATGTATATGAAAGTAAAAGTATTTTTTCAGCCTTGGCAGGACTCCAAGGAAACTCAAATGTTAAAAGTTTGTGTTTCAACCCCTAATATTCCCCTATTCCCTCCAGTAGACAGGCCACAGAATGTGGACAAAGTCGACCACTTCCATTAACCAAAAGACTGATCAAGGCGCATGTCTAGCCATGCCCATGAGTCGGTGGCTCCAGACTTCTCAAGGGCTGCGGCATAATGGTAGAATATTCTGCGTGCTCAGCCTCCTCTCCTAAGGCAACTCCCTGTCTGTTTCTAGATTGAACGCTGCCCCGGTTGTCCCCCAGGCCCTCAGTCAGAACTAAAGGGCCTTATATCCCATGTCTGCAGGATCAAAATGAACCATCTGACCTATTTTTTGGGGGGTTGGGAGAACATGTGAAGCATGAATAGGCTTCATGTGCCAGGTCTCCTAGGTAACATTTACATTTACATTTTAACAACATCCTTCCTTGCTTTGGTGTCATGGAGTGAATGAGTGGCTATAACAGCTACCATGTCTAGTTACTAGAGATGCTTTTGGGGAAGGCTCCAAGCCACCCGTATACTCTATAAAGAAGGATAATCCAGGAAAAAAAAAATTCAAAGGGCTGACAAAAAAAATTTTAGGAATCGGATATATTTAAGTAATGAACAATACATATATAGAGTGGATGAAATCCTCAGGGATTATTTTTTAGCTCTCATAACATTCCATTTCATATTTTAAAATGCTACTGAAAACCATCCATTATGGTCTAAACATTCACACTTAAGAAGCTCTGTGTTTATCTCTTAACAAAAGTGTTATAAATTTGGCTCTAATAACATTTCTTTTTCTTCTTGTCTTCTAGTAAAAGTGGCTCAAAGGGCTTTGTTCAACTGACAGGGAAAAAAAGGTATTCATACGAATTGGGGCAAAATGAAAAATGGCAGTGGCAAGAACTTAGATTCCTTCATGATAAATTCTCCTTTTTCAGAAGCTTTCGTAATGTCTCTTGGCAAGATATGGTCCAAAATTCTTAGTTGTACCTTTAGTGTTTCCAATGTTTTATCCTCAAACTACCCATTAATTCTTATCTCCAACCATGACCAAACACAAATTTCCTTCTTGGAAAACAGACTATGCTCAAATAACAGAATAAGTGAATGAATGCTCTAACCACAGTGGAGCCTCCTTGCCCCCAGGTACAACATGAGAATTCCTACCTGGGGGCCTTCGCACATACTGTTGTTTCCTGCTATTTTCTCCTTTCTTCTTCTCCAGTTTAAACCCTGCAAACCTATTCTGCTCTGTTTCAGTGAATTCTCCATCCTTAAACCCCTATAATTGTTTTAGGCATTTGGCACTTATTTTCTGTCTTGTGGAATAGATGACTTTTGTTAATTATTATGTATTGAGACCAACTATATTCCATGCAATATACTAAGCATTCTATAGGAATTATCTCATATGTTCACAATAATCCTAAAGGTATTATTAATATCCCCCATTTAACTGATAAAGAAAGTAAGATTCAAACGGTTTAAAAAAAAATGCCAGGGCCACTCAGCAAGTGAATGGCAGAGCCAGGATTTAAAACTAGGATCCCAAGACCATGATTTTTCCACCCAGGCACCCTGCCCAATTTTGTTTGTTCATTTCACTCATTCATTGAACTAATATGAATCATCTTAATAAGACAAGAACTAACTGAGGCAAGTGGGCCTGATGGGAGCTTACTACAATAGCATGAGGGAGAGTAATGAGGACAGTCAGCAAAGACATAGTCTACATGTGTGGCCTTCTGGACCTTGGCTGAATCCAAATTTTACTGAACGAATACTTTTGATAAAGAGATTTGTTCTGTCAAGTTTGGATTCGGTCAAAGGGCCACATTCGGGCATCTGGAGGGCCACATGTGTCTTTGAGGCTGCAGGTCCTCCACCCCTGGTCTACAGGCTCATGAGTGGGACTAGGTAAAGGAGAAAAGTAAGGGAACCCTGGGGCTTCTGGCTTCAGGAATGGTTATGATGCTTTTGAAGAATGTCATGAACCAGGAGGAGGGGCTTGGCAAGGAAGATAGGATGTTCTGCTGCGACCATACTGAGTAGAAGTGTAAACTGGATCCATGTAGACCTGCACAGAGACAGGGTAGCAGTGCTTAAGAGCATAGTGTTTGATGTCAACTACCCTTGTTCTTTATCTGAGCCCGACCACTTAGTAACTGCATGCCTTTGGACAAGTTTACCTCTTAGAGTTTCAAGTTCTTATATGTACAATAGGAATAATAATACCTACCTCAAAGAATTGTTGGAGGAATGGAACTAAATAGTTTATATAAAATGGCTAATACGATGCCTGGCATAGGGTGAGCACTCAATAATTGGATATTTTACTACTAGTTACACAAATTATTACAATAAATTTGGCACTGGAGTGGAAGACATCTGGGCTGGAAAATGGTTTTAGATATGTCTGGTATATGAGCAGTGGTTGAAGGTATAAGAATCAGTGAGATTGGCAAAGGTATACGGCAGAGATTACAACTCAAATGCTCCTGGCCAGGCAGCAAATGGGTGGAGCGAGTTGATGTAAACACATTTGCGTTTTGTGTGGACGGCGGGAACTCTGGGAAAATGAACAGTGCAGAGTCTCCCTAAAGAGAGAAGCTGCCATGCTGCTTGCAATGGTTGCTGCCATGCCACAATTAGGCCCAGCATCACCAGATCTCCTGCTTTTGTTTTGTTTTCAAAAGAAGCCAGGAATTTCCCAATGTTTAAATGTCATCAACTACATTCAACTTAGCAAGAAAACACATGCGTGGGCCAGACTGTGGCTGACTGGCTGCCAGATTGTGGGCTCTGATGAGAGAAAGAAGGGGACTGAAAGTAGAGCCCTGCAGAACACAACATTAAAGGGTGGGCAGAGAAAGAAGAGGAGTGATGAAGACCAAAAAAGTCTGAGAACAGAGAAGGAAAAAGAAGACAGAAAAGGGTGAGGTCAAAGACGCCAGGAAGAGGAGCATTCCAGGGAGGAGAGAGTCATTGGCACCATCAAAGGTAGCACAGGGGTCACTCTGGCCAGTCCAAACCACACAAACACGTTAATAATTGTGACCTTTTCTTGAGACAGCAGATGTAATTATTACTAAGGAGAGGGGACATAAGAGAGATGCTCAGGGTTAGAAATGATGTCTTGAGGAAAGGAAAAATAGTACATGGTAGAACTCTATTTGGATCAGTCTCTTGAACCAGGAAGAGAGAAATTCCTGGTTCAAGCCTGAACTTGAACCAGGCTCTGAGAACTTCCAGTGAGCATCTTTTTGAAAGCAAAGATGGACTCTGCCAGCTCAGCCACCCTTGGACGTAGCTCCGACGGCTAAAATTGGAGGCAGGTAGGAAACCTGAAAGCTTGCCCCATCCTCCCCTCATCAGGGGATTAGCTAATCAGAACACGGAGAAGAAGAGAAGGATAAATAAAAACTCCAACACTCTGACCAGTAGTGAATTCTGAGACATTTTATTTGTTTCCATGTATATATTAATATTATCATTACCTATTTTATTAATATCAATATTAATACTCTCTGAGAGCCAGAAAAGCACTAAATATAAATTATGACTTAAAATAAGGGACCTGCCCAGTATGCTTAATTAAGAACAAATTATGATTTGGATCAAAATTGGAATCTTTTAAGCATTCTCTAAATAGAATATTACTAGGTAGTAATTGATAACTGCTCTTTAAGGAATCAACAGAAAGGTTGAGGGAAGATGTTAACTTGTCCAGGAAAAAATAAATTCCATATAGTAAAAGAGAAGGTTACATCTCCTGACTCATAGCAACCAGTACATAGACATTTCGCATGTGCAGTCACAGCTAACACTGTAAGCAGAAGAGTCTAAACTGTTAGGCATTTAACATTCCCCTCATTTCACAAGAGAGGAAAGCAGGATCCAGAAATGGAGAATTATTTGCCTGAGGTCACTTGGCTAATTAATGACTGAATCAAATTTAGAATTCTGATCTCCTGACTTTTCATTCAGTTCTCTTTCCACAAAACTCTGCCACGTATGGAGAAGGATGAACTATTCCTTTGAAAGACAGGACTTAAAGGGATGGAGACACAGCAGACATTCATTTTGATGGGTGGAAGGCAGAGGACGGAGACTGGCGCACGGCAGAAATATCGCTGTGTGGCTGAAGGAGGCCGGCAAGGGACGAGCAGGCCAGGTGTACCCACTTGGCCACCTGTGAGGAAGGGCCATGGCACCGGAAACAAGCAACCTGCACAACAATTATGCTTAGCCCTGGCATGTGCACTGCACGTCTATGAGAAATATAGACAGACATTCCAAACTTAAAAAAGTACACATGCATTTTTTTAAATATTAAAGTCATAAACATTTATTTTTTCAGCTATCACTCCTTGAGTAGCTACAACTTTGCAGATCATAGTCAAAAACAAAAAAGTAAACTACACACACACACACACACACACACACACATAAATCTTATTATGAGTAGCCAAGACAGATATCACAGAATATCCTGCTTAAAACAATTCATGTAAAGCATTTAGCCCAGTGCCTGGTCCACAGTAGGTGCTTCATAAATGTTTAGCCACGATTGTAATTGTGTGAGTGGCTTGGCAGCCATTCAGAGCTCAGTTACTCTTACCTTATGCACAATTTCCTTTATTTAGCAATTTTATTTAGCTTCTTTCCATAACAGATTAAAATAGAGAGGTTGGAATGTAGTTGGAGATAGATACTTAAGAGGAAATAGAAAACTGTATCAAACAGATAGAAAAAATCCAAATGGAATGGAGACCATTTGGTGTACGGGTGAACGGTCCCCCACCTCTGGAGGTCCTATAGATAATCACCGTATTGCAGCACAGAACAATTCCTGTGGGGAATCATCCAGAAAGAGTCTATGACATACCGTGTCCTCTATTTAAATTGGCAATGGAAACAGTGCCACAATTTTTTGTTAAATTATCAAAAATTTACGTTTATAAAAGTTTTGGCATAGAGAAGCTACCAATTATCTGGAAATTTGACATGAAAAAAATCACATTTGTCCACAATGCCAAAAGCTTGATACATTATATCAAATTAAGGGGGTACATTTAAACTAAACATAAGAAAATCCTTTTCTCTCGAAGCCTGGGTATTGGCTGGTCTTAGGTCCTTCTAGTTTCGGTTGTCATTGTGAGATCATAGGTGATATTGTGGTATTTCTAAACAGAGGGATCATTATTTTTCATCAGGCACAATAGCTGCTTAGAGCTATTGGACAACACATTGTATTTGATAATAGAGTCACTTCATTTCTTGGAACCGGCAATGTGGCGTGTGTGTACAAGACACAGAGCCGAGTGTGCGCCTCAGCACAGGCGGAGGATGAGCGGGTGTGCTTTGCCTGTCTGTGGCAAAGAATGTGTTCTCCTCCCTAGACTGTTAAAATCCTGCCTTTTACCCTGGCAGGTCCAGCTCGCTGCTATTCTGCGCAATAAAGATAAGCCTCGCAATAAATCATCTCACTCTCCCTGTATAGAGAAATCTCTCTCGGTTTTCCTTAAGTGACTCATTAGATTTCTCACAGCACGATTTCCCCAGGAAGGTTCTTTGAAGGGAAATTTCTATTAAGTATGTTTGGAGGCCAGGAAAGCAAAGTCGTAAAGAAAAAAGCCCAGAGTGCGCAGTATTTCTTGGACAACTACCTTCAACTCCTGATGCTCACAAGCTGATTTTCCTTTTGAACTCCCACCCGATGGGGGGGTTTAGATCTAGGCAACATGCAAACTGCAACCAACGAACCTTGGAGAGGCAGCTTGGCTCCCAGGGGCTCGAACCACCCCTCCTTGCTCCTCTTCATTTTGACAATGCCACACACATGTCAAATTCCCAGCAAATGGTAGTCAAGTGCCATTTTCAGTGACATAAGTTTATTATGACAGTTACCTGACCAATAGAAACAACGTGTCTTTAAAAAGAGGCCCCTATCTTCTCTCTCTCACAAAGGTGCCTGGTGGGCTTGAGGCAGTCATGGGGGAGGTGGGTTAGGTAATTTATAAGATATAAGGATAAATAAGGTTAAGTAGTATGCAAGACAAGTTTTAAATATCCCTGAGGGGGTGGGGGCGTGGGCAGGATCTGCTTCTGGTCACATCCCACGTGGCTGAGCTGGGGCAACTCCTTCACTCGCAAGGAAGAGTCCACGTCCTGTCCACCCCAGCATGGTGCTCATGCTGGTGCCTGGTTTAAGGTGCTGTCATCAGACCCTCAGTGCGCGCAGAATTCACCAGGATTTTGATGGATGAGAATCAGTTCCCCACCATTGGCATGGAGGCTGTCGGGGAAGGAACTGTGCGTGGTCACATTCAAGTAGACTTTGTCTTTGTAAGCCAGTGAGGCCACCATGATGGAGTCGACAGACCTGATCTGGCTCAGGACCAGGAGGGGTCTCTGGCCCTTCCGGTAGTGAAGGCTGACGTTGACCTCCTGGGAGAAGTAGGCCTTCAGGGAGATGAGATAAAACCCATCGCAGTTGATGACGATTGAGTTGTTTTGCACCTTCATGACATCATCCTTGTTTTGGGATGTGAGGATGAAACCTTTCTCCTTCTCATACTCTAGGGAGGGTAGGGCAAGAATTAAAAAAAAATAAAAGAATGAAAAAAGAGTGATTCCTAAGCACAGCACTAAGCAACAATCTTCCAATACTTCTGAAATCAGGTGAAGAGAGAGTGACAGGAAGAGATTCTGAAGAGAGTAGAAGCACAATAGTGCTGTTTCTACTGTGGGCTGGAATCTGCTCTGCCAGGGGAATGCAAGACGCAAAACCAACAGTGGCCAAGACAGTCTCAGCGGGGCTGGCATTCAGGAGCCGAGAGGTTATAGCAATTGTCACAACAGACCTATGGCAGGAAAGGTAGCTTCAAGGTTTCCCTAATGTTTCAGAACAGGGAGGGATTGGCAACTTCAGCGCTTCCTTTCTTGCTCGGTGATGGACTACAGCAAAGGGTGGCAGCAGTGCCCCTTGCCCTGGTCCTGCACACTACCTCCACTTTGAAGCTTGACTCAGAGTAACTGCTTTTAGCTGCTCCCTATCCTCTCTCCAGCTGACCCTGAAATGCAAATTTTCCACATGCTCCCAGGCATTGGATTTACCAACAGCATTTACTACTGGCCTTTGCCAGCAGTCATTTAAGCTTAACCACTTCAGAACTGCGCTCACCAGCCACAAAACCGCGCCCACAGCCGGCACTCACAGTCCACACGGCGGTCTGTGCTGTGCATGGACGACGACTCCGTGTTGCTCTTGCGTGATGAGGAAAGCTTTAAAGCACTGAAAGCCTGTTTTACTTTACAGGCTGCTTTACTTGTAACGTAAATCAGAATAGGTAACATATACATATATGTTTTTATTATGTTATTTTTAAATGTTCACAGTTTTATTTTGATAAATGAAAAATTAGAAAAGTCATATTACAGCTGTTGGCTAAAGTCACCGTGCACCTTTATCTGTGGCTGTAGACTATAGTCAACGCTGGTCCCGAAGTGGTTAATAATGCAGCTTAGCACACAATGTCCGTGGGCTCAGTAAGATGCAGGCAGAAGAGCTCAAAAACACAGACTTGCTTCTCCCTTCCATCTCCTATTGCTAATCTGTTCTGGAAGGTACCTTGGGAAGAGTTGCTGTCACAGGAGAAAGAAAAGAAGGAAGAAGAAAAGGAGGCAAAGTGATAGCTTTGGTAGCTTTGTGCAGGGCCATTCTAAATGCGAGCCAAAGAGCCTAAATTTCTTTTATTTCCGTATCAGCCCCAATATCCTCTGAATGGCCAAGCAGCCACGTCTTGGACACACCCTATTCTGGCTCATGTTCCTTGGCGATGGGAAGGAGTTGGTCCACATTATTGACCATAATTCAGTAATCCCAGCCTTATACCAATTCCAGGGGGCATGTTTTGAATTGAAAATGAGGACCACTTATGGAAGGCAAGAGAGACTTCCCTTCAGGCTCAGGAGAACTCAATTTAAAAATGCATATTCATATAGAAACCCTCTTCCTACCAAGGACCTCCCCCAACTCTCATTAAGGTATAATTTTGCCTCAGAATAGAACTGGCAGGAGATAATGTGTCTTAGAGTCAGACAGACTTGTAAGAAGGAAAGCTTTAATTTCCTTAGCTGGAAAATGAGAATAATTCCTACTTGACAGGTTCCTAGGAGGACTAAGTGAGAAACATGAAGTAATTAGTAGAGAGAGAAGCACATATATGGTAACTAATTACTCCCCCTTTCTTCTTTATAAGATTTTGTCCCTAATGAAAATAATATGCAGGCTGCAACAATTCCGGGATTTAACTGGAATTTAATTCCTTCCCTAAGGAAAAGAAGAGATCTGGGGTCTAGAGGAAGTTAAGAAACTGAAGGGAAGATTCTTTCAAAAATATAAATCAGTTAAACTTTTGATAATACTTACTGGTAAACTGTACTTTGATACTTTGAATTGGAGGGGGCACCTGAGGGAGGAAAAAAGACATATTTTTAGAACAAAAAAAAGCAAACAAATGGAATTGGCAAGTCATGTCTAACAAAGCTTGTAGATGGAAAGACTGGAGGAAAGACTAGGCTGTTTCTGTGAAGACTGGACCCAGACTTCCTCCCTGGGCCCCTGCTTTTCCATAACATCTCTTAACACAAATGAAGACTATTCTGCTCTTTCATGCAAGCATCTGAGATATGTCTTCATTTCTGCCGAACTCTTCTTTGGTGTATTGTTTTTACTCACTGAGTCCCAATTTCCCATCTTGGATAACGGAGCACTTAATGATCATCTTGTTAATGACCTCCCCACCTTTCTTTCGGAGAGATTCCTTCATGGAGAATGCTGTGACCAATCAATCCATCATGGCCACAGATTCCTGAATGCACTAGGAGTGACTTCTAGAAGCTTCCTGCATGCTTGTTCTTTGCCTGTAATACAGGAGTGAGAGCATCTCCTATTTTCAGGGGACAACGCCAATAAAAACTGCTCTAATCCTTCAGAGTTCAATAGATTGGGTTTGTTTTTTTGTTTTTTTTAACATTTGGTCTTTCCCTTCTCTACAACAGCTTGAAAAACCTATTTTGAACCAAGTCAGTACTTAATAGCAAGAAAAGAAGTAAAACTGAAGAGAGGAAGCCCGATAGATAAACTGTTCATAGTAATTTGGTAGTTAAAAGAACAGAGAAGTTCAACAGGAAGCCAACTCCAAGATATATTAAGTTAAAAAAAAAGGGGAGGGGGGAGCAGAATCATACATAAAATAAATTGCCATTTGTGCTAAAAAACCATAATAATGCTTGTTTGGGCATTGACTATATCTGAAAGAATACACAAAACACTGGCTGCAGATGTTGCCTCTGGAGAAAGGAATTGAAAGCCTGAGGCCAGGAGTAGAAGGAGGGACCCTTACTTTCCATGGCCTACTTTTTAAAATTAATTTTGTACCATATTCTTGTATTACCTACTAGAAAAGGAAATAGAAAAAAATGCCTATCGTGCCTGCCAAGAACAACAGCTCTCAGTTTTGGCAAGGCTATTTTTGGCAAGACGCCCTGACCAAAGGTGTGGGGGGTGGGAGGGGAGAGAACTTGTTCTCATGCCCTGGGTTGTGGCAATCCTGCTCCCGCCCTCCTGGCGCGCTTGTAGCCTCGGCCAAGTGGACTGCACCAGGCACTGCCCACATGTGTGAGGACTCCCTCCTTCTCCTTACAAGTATTAATATGATCACAAGCCTGACCAAGCTGAAAACAACAGGCAGCGTGGGGAGAAGGGAAAGCCTTTCTGAGTCCTGCCAATGGCTAGACTGCAGGAGCAATATTATTAGTTCAAGTGCTAAGCACATGGAGAGAGGTATTGGTTTGGGGTAGCAAAGGGATTGTTAACTGTCTCCCCTCTGGGTACTGTTTGCCACTGCAGCTGAATTAGTGTCCTTCGTGCTTGAGACAATGATCTGCAGGAGACCTGTCAAAAGGCAGATTAGCCTGTAACCATAATTCCCTGGGTAAACACACGTCCCCAGCGCTCTCTGGGCCAGTTGTGCCAGTATGAATTGCCAGCTGCCAGAGTTAGAAGCAGTCTGCGGAGCAGCACGAGGAGCACAGGGCTCAGCCAGCAGCGACCAGGGTTCTCATGCCAGGCAGGCAGCGACTGCGTCATCTTAAACTAGTTTCCTAATCTCCCTAGATGTCAATTTCTCATCTTTAAAAATCACTGAACTATTGCAGGCATCCCTTTCAGCACTAACTTTCCATGATTTAGATTTTAAAAGTTGCAACTTTCAGTCAATTTTAATAAAAGAGAAAAAGGCCGGGCACAGTAGCCCGTGAATGTAATCCTAGCACTCTGGGAGGCGGAGGTGGGAGGGTGGCTCAAGGTCAGGAGTTCAAGATCAGCCTGAAAAAAAGCGAGAACCCATCTCTACTAAAAATAGAAAACATTAGCCTGTAGTCCCAGCTATTTGGGAGGCGGGGGTAGGAGGATCACTTGAGCCCAGGAGTTTGAAGTTGCAGTCAACTACAATGATGCCACTGCTCTCCCAGGGTGACAGGGAGAGATCCTGTCTCAAAAAAGGAGAGAGAAAGACAGAGAAAACATGAAGCTTTCTCCTTCGAGCTCCCTGATTTAAAAGCCCTTGTGATTTTATTATTTTGACTGACTTTGCAAAAATGTCCAAAAGTTGCCAGCAAATTGAAAAAAATTCTCAACTTTTTGAAGTGATCTGATAAAGTAGGGGTGGTAATGACCAAGCAGACATCCTCTAGGACCAAGATGCTGACAGGCAGGGAGAAAAGACACGTGACTTCCTCTCTGCCTGAAACTCTCTGGAGTTTCAGTAGATCAACTTCCTTCAGGTTGATCTACTGGAAGCCCCAGACTCAGGCATCCTGTTCCTTCTCCTTAAGGTCACCCAGACATAGAAATTTGCATATTCTCAGAAGTCTCTTACTAGCATCAATACCGTCAAGTTTAGGCAATGTTGTAAAATAGACAAAGATGGTCCTTCCCCTTGGTCCCTGCCTTTCCACCGTCTTCCCCTTCATCTTCCATACCTGATTACCTCATGGGTGACACTCCACCGCTCAGAGACACCCCCACAGTGCGCAAGTCACAGCCGTGCCTGGCCTGGCTCCGACCTCCTTGTCAAGCTTTGTTACCACGCACATCCTTCCTGGATCTTATGATCTAGCCAACTATTCGCTCTGATCTCCTTGCCCTTGGGCAGAGAGCCCAGTAGAATAAGACAAGGAGCGTAGGCTTTGGAGTCAAATTCAGTTCAAACTGTGACTTCTCTGGTTTTGTGAATTTGGAAAAGTTATAGCATTTCTTAGCTTTAGCTTACATACATGTGAAAATAAGGCATCATACTATCATTGTAATGTTCCAGGAGATGACTGAGAAGTTCAGCTAGGATAACTTAAAGCACCTAGCAGTTTGCCTGACACATGGTAGGTGCTCAGAAAAATGCTAACTTCCTTTGTTCTCTCCACCAAGAATGTCTCTTTCCATCTGTTTCTGCCCATCAGAATCTTCCCACCTTCAAGGCCTAAATCAAATCCTTGACGTTTGGTTTCTGTACTCCCATAGCAAGTGTTTAAAAATCACTCTGTTCACACAGATGTTTATAGCAGATTTGTTCGTAACTGTTAAAAGTTGGAAGCAGCCAAGATGTCCTTCAGTACGTGAATGAATAAATAAACTATGAGATATCCATACAGTGGAAGATTGCTTAGCACTAAAGAGAAGAGAGATATTAAGTCATGAAAAGACATGGAAGAAGAATCTTAAAAGCAAATTGTTACATGAAAGAAACAAATCTGAAAAGACTACATACTATATAATTCTAACTATATGACATTCTGGGAACAGTGAAACTATGGAGACTAAATGGTCAGTAGTTACCAGCAGTTAGGAGATGGGGAGGGATGAATAGTTACAGCATGGGGCGGGGGTAGGATAGTGAAACTACTCTGTATGATACTATAATGGTGGGTATATGCCATGATACATTTGTCAAAACCCACAGAATGTACACCACCAAGAGTGAACCTCAATGTGAATAAAAATAAATCGCTCTATTGATTTATAATACTGTCAAGGGACACAAGTTTTATCTCCCCTGCTTAGACTGCTTAGCTGTGTGACCGTGGTAAAATTGCATTTACCTTGCTCATTTTCAGTTTCTTTATCTATAAAATGGAGATATTAAAAATATGTATCTCGGAGGATTGTTATAAAGTTTAAATGAGATAATGTATGTGAATGACCAGCACCTGGCATGGAACATTGTAAGGAATTGACAAATGTCAGCTACTATTTTTAGATGCACATGGAAGACAAGATCCATGCGGTGTTCATAGTTTACTCTATGTATACTATGTGAGCTTTATATATGACAATACAATGAAGGAATGAATAAAAGAAAAAAAAAGAGACAAACAAAAATCATCAAATCAGGCTTCTGACTCTCTGGAGCCCAGAGATACAATACAAAAGAATCTGGACCTCATGAGAAAGCTTGCCAGAAAACAATCAGAAGATATTTAGTCTACCCACATACACAAACTCAGTATTTTGCATATCAGCAAAAGCAAAATCCCCAGATCTTCTCCAGATACTGAAATAGAAAACATCAAAGGGTCAGGAGGGTTTCCATGTAAGCACAGTCTATAGAATAAAGTTTTTCAGACTGGGAAGCTTGAAAAGCCCACACCATTCTCAAAGGTGAAACGCAAACCCCTGTAAGTATCCATTTCAGAATTGAAGTGCATCCATGAAATTTGAATGCGATGGTCTTAGAGGCATGAAAGAGCATAAAAGAAGTTATCTTCTACTTGAACATCATATCTTACACATGAAGAAATTAAGGCCCACAGAAGTGAAGGGATTATAGAATTCCAGTATAATTTTCATTATACCACACAGGTAATTTTTTTATCCCATGCAAATTTAAAGTTAGGAGAAACTGGTAGGAGGACTTCATTAACATTTCATTCCTTGTATCCACTTCAATACTAACCTTGGAAAAGAGAAGTTGCCACACAGCAGACTGGCAATGACCTCATCATGAGAACACACAGGGGCAGCCCAGCGTGCAGGCTTCCCTTCTGGGTTTCAGGGCTGCCATAAGTGAAGTCAAAAAAAAAAAAAAAAAAAAAAACAGGAACAACTGGGGACCCACTTGGCAAATATGGACTCTTTCAATAACTGACTGAAAAATATACATGTATCATGATACAGCAGGAAGGTCTGCAAACCCAGTGATTCTTAAACTCCAACGTACATTAGAATCTCCTGAGAAATTTGTTATTACAAAAAAAGTGCAGATGGCCAATCAGCTTATCCCAAAAATTCTGATCGAAAAGATCTGGGTGGATCCAGGAATCTATATTTGTATAATATAAGCATCCAAGTTTCAGACTTGAAAAGCACTGCATGTGAATGTCTGAAGATCTAAATCCAGAGAATGTATCTCCA